AAGCAGAGATCACCGAGGCAGCGTGGGCTGCACCTATTTCCCTTGGCACCACAGACGAAATCCGCGGTGAAGGATTCGTAATCCATAATTCAGTGGCAGTCTCTACGCCCATGGATTGTTCCAGCCCAAACAATTAATGACCGTCAGAGATAAAAGCTGCTGACAGCCGGCTCCTGAGGCGGAGCGTGGGGGGGAGCAGTGCTAATTATAAGCAATGCTGATGTCTGGGCTTATCTGAAGCACAGGGGACTCTGCTCCTCCATTAGTGCTGCCTGAGATACGCTGTCCATCACCAGGTCACACAGGCACAGCCACACGGCCGCAACACCCCTGTGAAGGTGGGTCTGTGTAACCTACACCCCATCAACACCACCTCAAACCCATTTGCTGCTGCCCTGGTCCCAGTGCTGGTAGTGGTGTCCCCAGTGGGCAGAGAGCTCTGGGGAGGGTCTCAACCCCACAGGCACTGCAGGCACCTGGCCAGGTCCAGCACAGCCCCTTGGCAGCTCAGGGCTGCTCTGAGCATGGCAATACTTCATGCTCACGTACACCCACGGTGCTTTTGGAGGAGAGTGATCTTCCTCACCTATCCCAAGCAGAATTTATTTACCCTTTTTTTTTATTTTTATTTTGCTTTTAATCTGATAAGTTGAAATTTCAGTACACTTGTCTGCAAAAACACTGCATTACAGAGACATATAACAAATACCGACTGTTTATAGACTCGGTTATTTATTCCCAGCGTATCTTCCTGCCTTTTACTGGCCACGTCTTTTATCAGCAATAACCAAGTACCTTTCAAGTTGACAACCTGTTTGGTTTACGGCTGGAAAATGCATCCAAGTGTCTTTCAAGCTTGCTCTGGCTGCAGAGAATTCAAATTGCTCAATGAATGTCATTTTACGAAGTTTAGTTTAGATATTATTCACATTTTGCTTTGTTTTTTTTTTTTTAATCATTATTGTCTTAGGATGGGCTTCTTAAGGCCAAGCAGACTTTTTACAGTCAAGAGTGTCAGTGCCAGAACCAATTCTCCTGGTCCACCTATTGCCCAAAATTATAGTGTCTGAAAAGAAGAATAATCATAACCAAGGTCCAAGCAATTTCAAGATGCTGAGCCTTTTCTAGTTAGCATTAAAGGGAGCTGGGCTTCAAGGATTTAGGAAGAAAATCAGCTAATGAAGAGCGACAAAAGAAAAGAAAGTAGTTGGAGGCTGACTTTGAAGCAGCTTGCAGGGGCACCCAGACTGCTGGGACCTGCAAGACACACACAGGATTTCAAGGCAAGAGGAGAAAGCCCACACTCAGACATGGACTCCAGCCCTGCCATGTCCATTAAAACAGAGAAGATGATTTCACTTACACATATGGAGAAAACAGCAAAGCAGTGAAATGAAGCCGAGAGGCTCCTCAGGATGTGTGGTCACCTCCCATACCTGCTCCCCTCCCACTCTCAGGTACCAGCTGGCAGGAGTCTGACCTCCTCCTCCTCCTTCCCTGCCAGTCCTCCACCTCCTCACCAAGGGCTTACTTCACATCATTCTTCCCATCACTTATTTCCTTTTCAAAGTGCTGATTCTCAAGCAATAATCATGCTTCTGTGTTTTAATGTTTTGATTGTACTTAGCTCCCTGCTCTCCCCCAAGCCCCCCTCCAGGTTCACAGCAGTGACACCTTCCCTTCAGATTCCCTCTCCAAGAGCCATCATTTCTCTCCCTAATTGAATTGTTGTCATGGAAATCATTTCTCCTCTCCATCTTACTGAAAGGCTTTTAAAAAAAACAGCCCCCTGCTCTACCACCTCTCCAGCAAACAGCCACACCACGGCTCCTCCCTGAGCACTTCACAGCCCCGACTGCCACGTGAAGGCCCTCCAGTGCCCTCCTCCCACTGCCCCACGTGGGCTGACTCGACCAAAATATCTGGACACCAACACTAGGAATCATTTTTGGACACCACATAGGTGACTGCCAGGTTTGCCACTCCACTTTCTTTCTCAGAGGTGCAACACCCTCAGCAGCTCAGGAGCCATCAGCTATCAAAGGCAGGGTGCAGCCACAGCCACCTGTTCTCTGTCTATATGCATATACAGAGAGAGAGAGAGATGTAAAGTGTTAGGGTATTTTGTATGAAGATATTTTTGCTTACATAACAGTCAGCAATTCCGCCGTCAAGAAATTCTGGTTGTTTTTCCAGGCTGGAAAGTTATTTACTGAAAATCACCTTTGATGAACTTCCAAGACAAAGGCTGCTGGCTCCAGAAGCAGAGCAGGGCTGAGCTGGCTCCAAGGAGAGAAGAAGAAACAACTGTGCTCAAAATACAACCCATTAAACTGCTACGCTGGGTGCCTGTGCCCGGGTGCTGGGGGCAGCAGGGCCACCAAACCCAGGCCCCCCTTCTTCAACTTCATTTGACAAAGACAAAAACAGAGGTCAATGTGAAGCCAAGGACAGCTTTCAGCTCTTCCTAATAGACAGGGACTGCAGAGAACCAGGATTAAAATACCCTAAATCCCAGCTAGGAAGACACAAACAAGCGTTCAGCCATGACTAATACCCCAAATATTCTCAAGATGGAAAACAAGAAATCTCTTCCATGATCATTCACTGACATAGTCCCATAAAGCTACTAATTAGAATGGTGTTTACAGTCTATATATCATTTCATTTGATGTTTTTACTCTGATTAGTTATTCTATCACCTGCAGAGAGCTAGTTAGCTGAATGCAAAGATGTCATTGGACTTAATCAAGTAAAGTAGCATTTCAGAGAGGGAATTCAGCTAGCTCCATCCTGCTCCGTGCCGTTACCCTGCTAATAACTTCTAAAATTAAAGTTGAATGAAAGCTAAGAAGAGTCAAGTTAGGTCAGTGCTCAGAAGAGAGACATGTGCAAGAAAATGGGTGAGCTGCAGAAAACCTGTGTATTGCTGATCTTTTCTTCTGCATAAACAACCCAGCTGAACACCACAGCTTCTGGAGGAATTATAAAGCAAGGTTTAGTAGTCCTGTGTTCCCAGACTACACAGTGCATCTCCTAGGAGAAGCCACACTCCTCCCAGCATCTTCTCACACCAAGCCTTCTAGCCTACCTGAATCGCTTTCAGATTTCTAACGTGATGGGAAGGTGTTCCCTCTCTCCCAGACAGGTCATCAGTGGTCACACTGGGCCCCACATCCTGCCAAACCCTCCTCAGGGCTGCTGGAGCACTAGCATCACGTCATGTGTCTCCCCCTGCACACAGTCCTGCAGAGTGCTTTTTCATCATTCCATGTCATGCTGATTTTTGTGCTGCTGATACCCTACTGTAACCCCTGATTCTTTGCCTCCAGTGCTGCCTACCCTGCTATTTGCCTTTCTGCTGCAGTTCTTGCCCCAAGCTATCACTTGACCCTTTCATCCCTTTTTCCAGATCACCATTTCAATCTGTCCAGATTATTTTAAGCAAGCGCTCTGGTTTCTCTTCCCCAGGCATGTGCAGTCCCTCCCGACTTTGCATCACCTGTCAGCTTAACAAACGTATTCTCCATTCCATTACTCAGATTGATAATGAAAATACTGAACTCAGATGGACAGGAGCCAGCCCTGCAGAGCCTCGCAGATTTTTCTGGGAATTCAAGATAAATAGGCTGATCCATAAAGCCCTGAGTCCTCCTTTCCCTCTGTTTTACGCACTGGCACCGCTTTTACTATTCTGTTCCTACCAGGAAACTCCCACCTCACTCACACACCTGATGCTTGCACTGTGGTGCTGCAGACAGATCTCTGAGGCACCCGAAGCTCCCGAGATCCTGCTGCCAACACCTCAAACTGCAGTTGACAGGGAGGTGTCCCCTCCATCAGAGGCACACCTGGGGTCACTCACAGAGTCCCGAGAGAGCCCAGCCCGCCAGCACCTCTGGCATTTCCCTGCCCAGCACTCAGGACCAGCACCCTGCTTGGTGGAGGACAAAAATATGCTTTGGCTTCAGAACAAAAATTGTTGCTTTTTCCCCCCCATTTAGCTTCCTAATCACAGCCAGCCAAGCTTGAAAATGCTATCGTGCATTATGCAATAATCCACCGAGAGCAGGGGGATTTTGCACAAACTGTGTGCTGTAATGAAAAGCATTTCCCCCACCCCTGCCAAGGGGCAAAAAAAAAAAAAAAACCCAACCCACACAAAACAAACAAAACCTCTGTCCTCTAAAAGAATTTTACCAGCTATTTGTTCCATTTCAGTCATACATCTACTGACAGTACTTCTGTCTAAATCAGAGCAGAAAACAGCTCAATTTGCAAAAAGCTGGGCTGTGTTCACCTCTACAAAAGCCACTGATTTGCCCCAAATTCCACTAAAAAAAACACTAGTAAAGGCTGCTTCTCCAACTGAGAGGATGGGGTTCCTTTTTGGAAGGGAAAAAAAGCCATTATTTAGTCATTAGAATGGAGAAATATCTCTCTCTACAAGACACAGAGCACTGAAATATTCTAAAATTAATAAACTGGTCTACTTGGTGCATTTTAAAATTAGATTTCATTTTTCAGAGAACCTGTATGCAAGGTTGCAGCCTAATGCAAATTGAAACAGTAATAAACACTTCAAAAACCTGTTTATAATAGAAATGCTAACAAATCCTTAACTATAATGATAATGGCTTGCTAGGTAGCTCTATAATGTAAAATTAATCCTTAACATGTCTTAATTTTTTTTCCGCTGGGTCATTTAATAATGTGATAACTCATTTCTTTCCTCTGCCTTCATCTCTCACATTGCCATGGAGACAATTGTGAATCAGATATAAATAAAAATACTCTAACACTGTGGCACCACATGTTCTTTTGATCCATTGCCAATATGATTTTAAAATTACAGGAATACAGAGAAGCTCAATAATTAACAATTCATTTGCTAAGAAATCGCCTCTTTTTAGCTGGTTTCCTGGTGATTTGCTAACTCAGGAATGCTCAAAAACATGAGCAAAAAATTAAAAGTTCAGTATTCCCTTTCAAATACCCACCTTGCACTTCAATCAGCAACTCAGAGGCAAACAATTATTGCAGGCCAGAGCCCAAGAGCCAGCACTGCATTTCCTTTTGTAATCTCATCAGTCTCAGTGTGATTTCTAACGGGAATAAATTTTAAGGTAGTTTTTAATTGTTTGAGCTCAGAATTCACTTACAAGGGAAAACAGAAGTATGCAGTGAACAGGTTTATTGCTGACCTCTATTATCTGAAGTGTCAAAACGAGGGCATGGATCCCTGCCTCTGTATTAGTTTGTTAAGTACATACAGCAGTAGAAAGATTAAGATTAATTATGCATTAATGATCTTGACACCCCTTAATTGCTACCCACTGATAGAGGCCATAATCCCTCATATTATCCACGTTCTCAGGAACTCTGATGCAAAACTCTCCTCCGCTACAATGCTGATGTTAATTTGCACAGGGGCAGGTCTGGTCCAGCACCTTTTCAGACCAGAGGATGCTAAACTGAATCCTTGCTGAGGAGCACATGATCTCAAGCACCTCCAGGGCTCTCAACACCTGGTCACTGTCACTGTACACGACCTGCAACAACTCACAGCTCCACGCTCTCAACGTGAGGACAGTCCTGGCGCTTCACAATTAAGGACTTGAGCTTATAAAGAACTCCACTGTGCGCTTAAACCTTTCAAGTTTGTGAAGAACTCACAGTCTCAGGTTTTATAAAGGCTCTTATGCAACTCCCAAACTTTTATTTGTAGTTACATAAACCCCTCAGTTAAGCAGCGTAACTGTACTATTTACGTGGTATTCTGTCCAGCCTCACCAGGCATTCCCAGCCCAGCATCCCAAGAGGAGATATGTTTCTCTGCACAGCATTTTCCATCCTCTGCTGCCTTAGAAGTGGAAGGGCCAGCATGGGCTGACCAAGTTATTAATCACTGCCATGTCTCTTCCATTAAAACATATAAACTACAACCCTACAAATGCCTCTGTGCATCACAGGGAAACCTCATAAATACAAGGTCTTGCAGAAAAGCCCCTGGCTCCAGTAACTGTTTTGTCCAAAAGGATTCAAAGTGATTTAAGAGCTCAACTCTGACTCTCAAGAGCAAAATAGGCACCTAAAGAGTTTAAATAATAGTGAGGATACAATGGCTCAGAGCTTGCCTTCCTCTGTAACAGCTAATTATAATTAGTGATATGGCAGGTACAGCTTGATACCGGCCCCACCATTTTGGTGACTTACAAGGACCTGCTTCTAGAGCAGGATAGAGGAAGAAAAGAAAGGAAAAAGTAAAAATAAATAAGGAAAGAGAGGGAAAAAAGGTCACTCTTTCCCATGACAGCTGCTTAGAGCTGGTCCACGGGGACATAACACATGTCGACCAGCCCCACCAGCTGTCTGCAGATGGAGAGCTCCAACAGCAGCTGCTCCAGCTTCAGCTCTGCCCTCTCCTCCTCTGCAGTAACTCACAGGTGGACACATCCATGCCCAGCGCTTTCAGAAATGGGACATCAGTGCACCTGAGGCATTCGCTCTTTCTCTGTCAGCACGTACAGGGCAATGGCATTCAAACCCTGCTTCAAATCCAGACCCTACACAAATACAACAGATAATAACTGGATAAAACCTAGTGGGGAACCTGCGGCTGGCAACCAGCATGGAAATGGAAACACAGAGCAACGATTTTGTACAAGGGGAGTTCATTTTTTTTGTGCCTCCCTGCCACTCGATCTTGGAATTTTATCAAGCAAAGTAAGCTGGTATTTAAGTGAGGGACACAAATAACCCTGAAATGCAGGAAAACTGCACAGTGTTCCGTTCTGCAAAGTGGATAACACCAGCCCCAGCACCACAGGGTGCATGAGCAGGGACACACAGACCTCCTGCACATGGACACACCGCTTTCAGATTCCCAGGAAATGCCAAACAGCCATGGGAGGTGCAGGAGAACAAAACTCAGCAGAGAAGGTAAAAAGCAGGGACAGAGAGGGTTATTCTTCACTTTTTGCTCAATCTGACCTAAATTACGTGCTCACTCTAAGCAGTAGGAGGCAGATTTGGGAGAAGTAAGTTCCTACAGGGCTTTAGCCTTCTGCATAGCTCTGCTGCAGAAAAGCTGGATGACTTCCATATCTCTTAATGGGCAGCTTTTGCCTACTGCCTATGTCCAATTTCTCCCTTTGATCTGGCTCAGTAGCCTATAAATAAAGTCAAAATATAAACATCGATATCCATATCACAGAGCCGAGGCAGGAGGGAATTTTTAGTGGAGGGAGAGGGCTTAATGCACAAAATAACTTTGACATTTTGTTGTACTCACCGAAAAACTCCTCAACACCTACAGCCTGGCTAAGACATTTGAAAATACAGATGAGTTTCCAATCGATACACAGCCTATCCCTGGGAGGAAAGTAAGGCATAACAATGCCTTGTTATATATCCACTATCCCAGTGGGACAAATCAATGATTCATGATTTTTCTAAATGCCAGGCTGTACCATACCCTTCCTCATCCTCCTCACTGGTGCATATTTCCATAACAAAATGAACTGGTTTGGTGCCCTGACCTCAGCTGTGGTGTTTGCTACAAAATTTCGCAGTTAACCCCAGCTTCAGCACCTCAGGATGCTCCCACTGATGGGCAAGGCTGGTATTTCTTGGTCTGAAATCCCACCAGCTCCAACTGCTGAGCTTCGAAAAGAGAAAACCTAATGGAAAAATGTACCAAGACCACTGAGGAGACATGAGAAGGAAGAAGACTCAGTCCTCAGAGATGGAGGTGCTGGAGTGAAAGCTGACTAAGTCAGTAGGTAAGACAGATGTGCATTGAAGTCTTCCAACATCCAAACCACTTCTTCTCCTTGTTCTCCATTATTCCTTGTTCCTACAGTTTGCTTTGAAAAAGGTTGCACAGAATCAGATTCCAATTGGGGAGCTCCCGTGCATGGATGGCAAGAGGGAAGGAAGGGAGAGACTATGGGATATTCCTCCCCCCAGAGCCATTGTCTCACAGCAGGGAAACTCAGGGACAACTCAGGGATGGAACTAACACAGATCCAAGGCGAACAGAGCACAGGGCTTACCTTGGCAGGAGAGTTTCAGCTGTGGAGCTGGGTTAACATGCTCCAACAGAACAACTTGGAGGGAAGGTTGGTGGCATTCCCTGGCCCTGCTGCCCACCCCAGCTATTGCCAGCACTGCCTGTGTGGTGCCTGCCTGGCATGGGAAGGCAGAAGCCTTGTGGTGACCCAGCCAGCTGGGCTGCCCTGGGCCAGGCAGGGGGAGAGAAGGCAGCCGGAGCTGTCAGCTGCAGGAGTCCCCTCCGTCTGGCCTGGAGGCAGCCAGGCAGGACTTAGGATGGCAGCCTAATTTTGCAAACATTATCTCTGCTTTGTGACTGCAGAATTGAGACACACACAGATGAAGCGCCCGCTGAAATTCAAAGCCCAGCCACTGTGCAGAGCTTAACACACATCTCTTGATCACAGCCTAATAACTTAAAACACAAGACTATCCCCTGCTCTCCTCCCCACAAACATCTCAGTAACCATTAAACATTCAAAGGGGAGCAGCAAAGCCTACACACCAATTAAACCGTGTTTCACTTAAACAACATCTTTGTGATGGATGTGCTGCTTCTGTAGGGCTCTGCTTCTCCTCAGCTGCTGCAGCAAGGAGTTTATAATACAAAAGTTCCCACCCTTGTTAAGATTTCGTTGCCTATGTTCACTCACAGAGGCTCCCCATATTTATTAGCAGTTTGGTAACAAAGCGAAGCACTTGTGAAACTGGCCTCAAGCTCTGCTCGCTGAACTGTGAATTAACTGTAAATATAATTAGAGCTCTACCTCACACTTGGGACTGGGAGGAACAGGAGGTCTGCCCCAGAGCTGTAACTACAGCAGTACGCAAGTCCAGGGCTGACAAAAATAGCAACCCCAGCTAAAAGAGCAGAATTAATTACGTGAACTGTTAAAACAAGCTACACAGAGTGGTTTTTCCTCTACTTCAAAATTAAGGGGAAATTCCTTCCTGCACTGTTTGAGGAACGAGCAACAGTTGGAGCAGCCACAGTCCCCTCCCGCTGCACTACTGATTTCCAGGAGTTCTGATTCCATGAAGCACTGCTCAGTCACAGAGAATGATTAAACCAAAATTTTCTAAGACAGACAAACACTCAAACTGATTTTCAAAGGTACCCTTCTGCACCCTTTTAGAAAAATCCGGCCCTCTGGTAAGATGTTGAGCACAGCCATTGTGAGCATCCCTAGGCAGCTCCTCCCCAAGGAGGAGAATGGCGCTCTCATAAGGCGAGCAATAAGAGATGAGCAGGGCTGTAATGGAAGGGAAAAGAGAGCTGTGACAGCTTAAAACTCAAGATATTTTCAGGAAATGATGTAGTGTTCACCCTGTTGGACTGGAGGAGCCTCGGCAGGCAGAAGGGAAGGTAATAATGGGTCAGCAAGGACCAGAGGGAGCAGAACCGGCTCGGTTTGAGTGCAATATAGATCAGATGGAGTGATCCCAAAAGGGGATCTGTCAGAAAAACTGCAGCAACAGTTACAAGTTACAGTTTGGAAGACTTAGTCTGACAGTCAGGAAGGTATTCCCCCAGAGAGAGCACAGGAACAGGCACCAGGGAGAGGATGAACCCCCAGTCCAGGGGAAGGGGCTTTGTGGCTCATCTCAGCAAAACCACTGCTCATGTAGGCAACTGTCCTCCAAGCAGGAGGCTGGAAACCTCCAGAAGATCCTTCCAACCAATATTTCCACAGTGTCACCTATGTGAGACCAAATGAGGTGCATTTGGTAGGGTACTGCACCCATCCACACATTCCTGCCCTAAATCCGTGACCGTAGAGGAAGGCAACGCACCATAAATCAAACAAAAAGCCTCGTAACATAATGTCTCCTTGTGTTGCCTTCTTCCATAAACAAGCAAGATTTATGTATTCCTGGGACTGTTAACAAGAGCCATTTGTCTTTATTTCTGCACATAACTAATGAAGACACCAGCAGCATTGATGAGTCTCGTGGGATTAATTAATGAAGCCATTTTCAAAGGGGTGTCTGTGGGCTTGGTTTCTCTCCTGCTAAAGGAAACGTAAAGCCCTTT